TTTCTTTAGAGGAACATATATAATTTGCGCATTTTGTTATTTATGAATTCCTCTAACCAAATCTAATAATTTATTTAACTTATTATTAATCAAGAATTTTTTATAGGTTTGAAAATAACAAAATTTCAACGATTTAAATATAATTCTTGTCTTTATAATTTATAATTTATTATTTTAAATTTTTTTAATTTTTCATTGTTAATTTTTTATAACGTCTCAAAAATAGTTTTTATCATCAATTTTTGGTAAAAAAAATTATATGTAACAAACAAAATACATATTATATTCGTTATATTTCACTTCACCTTTGTCACGTAAACTAATTTTTAATTTTTTTAAATAATTTCAAAATGTATTTTCCTGTTGTCACTTTATTATACTCTTCATGTGCACAACTTTTTAAATTGTGGAATGTCAAATATTATCGTCGGTGGCAGAGTTGGACTACCAACCTACCTCCTTCGATGATGTGTCCAGCTCATTGCTATTGTAGCAATCATGGTAGGTAACAATACTCTTGATGGTCTTTAGTAAATCTATTTAGTTATTCTTGACCTTAGAGGAGGTGACATTGACGATGGTGCCATTAGAGTGGCACCAACAGAATAGTAAACACTCTTGTGACGCATGAGCTCTTACACGATGAGAGAGTAATTGAGTGAGGTCAAATTTTTCCATAATGAGGCGATGACTAATGGTGACTTCGAAGAGAGAATGGTTATCGAAGACAAAACTAACGTCGTTATCAAGATTGTGAATTGTAGAAGTTCCTTTTTATTTAAGGATTCAAGTTTGGATTAAGAGGTTTAAGATTTACAATACAATATTTGGATTAGAGAAGGAAAGGATGATCACAGGTGAGGGTGAAAGTTTAGGTGCAATAAGTGCATTTTAAAATTTTATTTAAAAAATAATTTAAAATTAATTTACCTAAATGATAATGATAAAATAAAATATAACGAATATAATATTTTTTTTAGGGTTTAGAAAAATATAATAAATATAATATTATATATTATGTTTATCACATATTTTTTTTAATAATAATGACTATTTTCAAAACCTTATAAAAGATTAAGGATAAAATAATAACAAAAATTTACAAAGATTAAAAATAGGAAGCACAAATATTATATTTAAACCAAATTTCAAACTTCACCTTTAGTGTGCCTAAGACTTAAAAATAAAAAAGGGTAAATTACATAGAAAAAAAAATTATATTTAAATCAAATTTTAAGCATCATCTTTGATGTGCCTAGACTTTCTTGAGGAAAATAGGTCAAGGAGACTAACAATTGGAATTCTCTATGTTTTCACATATTTCGAAATTATTTTAATTTCATTTTAATTAATTAATGTATACTTTTTATCACTAAATAATTGCTGTTAGAAGCAAATTTTAGTACGTATAAAAGCAACAGATAAATTAAAGAACAACAAATTTACCGGAGAGGGCATTCGGAGGGAAATACGAATCCCATGGATTTAGGATCTGGATTTGATTTAGTCAGTCAGTCATTAAATTGGAGCAGTTGAATACAAATTAGATGATTCACTTAAAAAAAAAGTGTAATGACACACATTACATAGATCCACTATAATAAATATTATATATAGAGATATATAAAAAATATCAGTATAAATACAATATATATATATATATATATATATATATATATATATATTTAATATATAATTACATATAATTTTAGTGTTAATTTTGAATGAGATTTAATAACATATTTTGTGTGTCATTATAATTTATACTCACACTTTTAACAATATGTCAACATATATTATATTTATTATGTAGGTAAAAGTAGTTTTTAGTGATACATATTATGTCACTATAAGGTATATGTCACTATATGACAATTTTCTTGCAATGATCTATATAATATTTATCATTAAAAATTATTTTTATTTCTAAAATATTTAAACTTGATATATTGATATAAGTTATAGTAATACATAATATATATTATTAAATCAAATTTAAAATTAATACTAAAAATATGTTAAATAAATGCATATATAGATATATTATATTTATAGTAATATTTTTATACATATAATATTTCTTATAACTATTCAAATTCATTCCGACATTATTCAGAGCACCTATCAGAAATAACTACATAAAAGAAAAAAGGGATATCAAAACTTTATTCAATGGTTTCAATTTGATGACTACAGTGACTGCACCGAATCTGAGTTCACATGGACATGCTTGTCTTGTGATGCTATCTATATGTATTTTACTTATCTTGGCAATGTATGTGATGATGCTAGTAAATAGCCTTGTCCTCGTCCCCTACTATAAAAAAGGATAGAATGGATGTTTTACATTCTTTGGAATTTCCACCTTAATTATTCATATTTATGCAACGTAATAAGGAGATTAGTCATTGTTATTGGCGGTGGATATTCCAGAGACGAATTAAAAAAAAAAATTGAACGATAATTTTTTTTTTTTAATGAAAAAAGGGAGATATAGATAGAAGAGCATAGGGTGAAAAACTGTAAAATTAGGGATGAACCTATGCGTACATCATCACGGGGCAATTATCACCACATTTTTTTTATTCTTTCTTAATTGTATCTTTAACCCTCAAATATTACGATTTTGTGATTTTATTCTTTTATACTTTAATTGAATGAATCTAATCTATCAAGTATGTTATTTGATTTTTATTCTTCCATTAATATTTTATTAAATTTTTTTTTACTAACATATGTAAGGGTAAGATAGAAGTTTAGTATGGAAGTCAATGTAAAGGTGGAGGATTTGGGATGAATGGATTATGGATATTTTAGAACGAGTTAGGTTTCAAAGGGAAGATCGGTCCAAGAAGTATTTGTAGAATGAGTTAGGAAAAACTTACTAATTTTGTTCCCGATTCTATAGTATGATGTGATTCATTTTGTAAATCCAAATCTAGTTTGATCTACAAATATAGAATTACATCATGTCAATTCGATTCGTTAATCTAATATATTAATTTTAATATTATATGTGGTTTAAGTTGTGGATTTAAAAAGTATATACATATAATTAAGATATCATATATATATATATATATATATATATATATAAAGATAATTAATATCAATAAATTATAAAATTAAATACATAATTATTTTAAATAAAATATTAAATACACGATCAGGCTGAGACAATTCAAATAATAACTCGAATTCGTTAAAACACATTAGATAAATTTTGTTAAATTTGAATTCATCAAAAGTCCCTTTGAATTAGGCTGAGTCAACATAAAAAATCCCTTAAACTTTTGTTAAATTTTACTTTTAATCTAAACAAATTTTATTTTGTTAACAATTTTGGTTCGTGATATTAAAATTTTTTGTTTATGAAAATTTTTTTTAGGAACTAAAGTCAAATAAAATTTGATCAAAGGACTAAAAGTGAAAATTAACAAAAAAAAATTTAAAGACTAAAAATATACTTAATCCTAATAAAAAGAATAAAAGTGAAGAATTTAAGAATTAAATTATATTTTTACTTAAATGTATAATTTTAAACTTTTTGCTTAATTAATTTTAAACTTTTTGCTTAATTATCTACACCTAGATAAAAGAGAGTTAGAATAATATATATACGATCTTATATTTGAATATTATTATTATTATTATCATTATAACTTATTTATTGATATAATTTTTTTTAATTTGTAACTACTTTCATCTTCAATTTTAATTTTTTATCCTTAAATAATAATACAAATGTAACAATTTTGCCAATATATTTTCTCCATTTTATTTTACATCATTTTCCTTCTCTTCTGCAAACATTTCATCACTCGAAGTTACTTCCTACTCTTACTATTCACATAAGTTACATCTATTCCCATAACTTCTATTTCTCTATTTTTTTTATTTTTTTATATTTATTTTGGAGATAGGACTTTTCTCCTAGCTACTTGTAACAATTTAAATCATTTAACCATATATTTTTTTTAATATTTTAATGTTATAAAATGAAAATATAAAAAATAAAATCTTAGCTTATATATATATATAGTAATCATCTATACACTACTAGTATAAAGTTTTTTATACTGACAACCAATCATATCTTTTAAATTATTTTATTTTATTTTTATTTTACTAAATGAGCAACTGACATGATACTATTAAAAAATATGACTGGTTGTCAGTGTAAAAAAATTTTACACTGGTAGTGTATAGGTGATTAACTCTTCTTTTAAAGTTTTCTTATATAAAAAAAAATTGATATAACGTCTTAAATATTTTCCTTTTATCATTAGTGTTTTGGGAGGACCTCCTTTAGAGAAATCTATCGACAATGCAAATCAGAACAT